TCAAGTCTTTTCCATCCTTAAAGTCCCTCTCTTGACCCCATGACATCTTCTTGTTATCATCCTGCCTGTCTCCTCCCCGTCTCAACTAAATGTCTCAAAGTGTAACCCAAAATTCACCTTGTCCACTTCTCCATTACTGACCAACTCCTAAAACTATGAAACCTTGCTCTGCACATAACCCCCAGCATGGCGGGCACCACACCCCTGAGGGTACATTCCTTGCTGACTTCCTGAAAGCCAAACACGAAAGATACCCTTCAGTTCTCATCTCCCCAGTATTAGCTTTTTCACTATGTATGAACCATTATTTTCAGTATCACTGACTTGTACATAATTTTTTAATCCCAGCATTCCTTTAAAGGGCTACAAGATACATAAAGACTCCCAATCCTCATTCTTGTGTAACTTGGCAACTTTCTTTTGGATGTGGTGGATAAACCATAGATAGATCCAATTTGTCTGGGAATACAGACAAAGACTCCTTGTTGATGAGAGCACACGCCCATCCCCTTCAAGATGAAGTGTATTCTAAAGCCATAAGATTCTGTGGGAACCTGAGCCACTGCAGAGAGGCAGTGACGTCACTACTGCCTTGTTCTAGAAAGGCAGTGCCAACCCTGCATGGAGAGGTGTAGAGGCAGGCCAGCTGCAGAGGCTGGGCGCCAAGGAGAGTCAACAAGGGATTGAGGATAGTTTCCCTTCTTCCCAGATCTCAGGGCTCAGATACAAAGCCACCAGGGCCACCATGTACGGTTGTGCAGGTTGCATCCTGTGCGAGAGTTCCAAGCAAGTGTGTGAGAGAGCTAAAATCCAGCCCACAGTCTGGTCACCAAGCCATGTAGCGTGGCCTGTGTCCACCCAGAGCACAGTCACCTTTTATTTACACAGAGTGTTGTCCTTTCCAAGCCAAGTGCCTGTGGAGCTGTGTCTGCAGAGTGAACACCTGTTTTTAATTCCCAAAAAGACCAAAGAGGCCAAGGGACCTCAGAACACACAGAGCTGGACATTGTGGGTCTTAAGATGAGGAGAAACCACTGCTAGAAAATCTCCTCTTCTTTTGTATCTCACTGGCCTTTGTGTTGGTGGAGTCACAATGCAGTAAAACTGCCTGAGTTGAAGTCATGGCTCCCCATCTTCTATGACCTTTGGTAAATTGTTTAATTCACTGTGCCTCGGTTCCCATCAATAAGGTGAGGGTAACAATAGTATCAACTTCATAAGGTTGTCATGGAGGTTAAATTATTTTAGAACAGGTCCTGGTGCATAACAAGCACTCGATACACATCAGCTCTTAGCTAACAGTGTCATCCTCATGTACAATCACAGGAAGCCATCTCTCACACATCAGCCAGGCAGCACATCCTCATCGCCAGGGTCCTCATTCACCAAAGTTCGTGCGTGTTGTTGATGTTGTTGTTACTGTCATTGCTGTTTAGTACCTTTCTCTTTCAAAAAGGCTCCCAATCATGTGGATGTGAGAGTGGGGAGGGGGGCGCACGTACACGTGCACACATGTGCATCTGAGTGTGTGGGGTCAGAAGACCCAGGGCATCAGCCATGTGTGGATGGGGAAACTAGGCAGACTCCTTCAGCCCTGCATTAAAAGTTGTACTTAATTCTAACTGAACAGCAGTAATTATCCAAAGCTGAAAAAAAACCTCTTAGAAATGCCCCAAGTCTAGGTTTCCTTCATACTTCATCGCAAAGTGTTATTCTTGGACAGCTAAGACCCTGCATCTTAATTACCAGTTCCTCAGGGCAAAAAGTGAATGAAATAAATTTACGGGCATTCAAATGAGAACTGTGCTGGCCTTGACTGTGAGTAACCTCATCTTTAATAAGGCAGACCACCTGGCTTGAAACAACCCAATATTAGTCTTAAGGTGGGAGTGAGAAAGAAGTGCCCTAGTACATACATTTGCTAACTGCTCTCCCCAGCTGTCAGTAAGGGTGGATTGGAGGTGGTCAGCCTGAGCAGTCTAGAGGCAGGGAAACAGGAGTTTATGTCTTTAGCCAGGGATCAGCTACTTGAGAGTCATTCCTTCTTGGACACCAGAGCAGGGGCCCTCAGAATCTCAGCCAGTGGAAGAAAGAGTCCCCAGAATGGATAGAGGAGGCAAGAGAGAAGCTGGGGAGACTGACTCAATTAGCACATCAATCCCTGCCCCATCCACAACTCAGCTTTTCTGAATGCCCCAGGCAAAGGTTTATACCTAATCAGATAACACCAAGCCAGGGATGCCCACTGCACTCCAAATCCCTGCAGAAATTTCTAACAGTCTTCGCATATGTAGAGTGCTGCCCGCTGCGCATACTCTGGGACCTCTCTCCTGGTCTCCATTACTGACCTCCAGGAGCCACGCCCTGCCTCCAGCCACTACGGCCGAGCTCATTATTCTTGATGACTGCACAACAATAGGGAGGAAGCACATTTTGATACATATGTTATTTCTACTTTTTCTACTATAATGAACAACCCGCCTCCAGGCTATGGGAACCTTCTGGACTTAATGAACTCAATAGGCTGGGAGAGGCTCCTGCTCTGGATGACAGAAGAATCCATCTTGGAAAGACTGCAGCTCTTCATTAATGTTAGGTGCTGTGGGTCACAAAGATAACGATCTGCCCCTCCCAGGACTTCTGCTTTTCCTGAATCACCTCTTGTATTCAGTAACCCCTAGTACTCCTCCAAAGTAATCGCCTCTCTCTGGTGCTTTTGAGAGTCAGACCTCCCTGGAGCAAGACTAGGTGTAGCATTCCACTTGGACGCCCCCCCCCACACACACACACACACAGGTTCTTGTGTCAGCAAAGTGGAATAAAGCCATCACAGCCCTGCTTGTTCCAAATACCACAAGCAGGCTCTACATGAATCTTCTGTGCACTCATGGCTCTTGGGTAAGAGTTTCAGTGCTTCAAACCCAGTAGCCCACCTGTGTGGAGTCTTTGACTATTTGGGAGTGCCTGTCCAGGTGTTAAACAGTTGCCCTGTCTTCAGATTTCTGACTCTTATATTCTGCTTACCATTAAGGAAAATTAGAACTATGGGAATAAACTAAAAAAAGATGTCCTTTACCCAAAAGCCACATGTGAAAATCAATTCTTAGTCTTGAGTTTGCAATTCTTTTATCTTTGACTTCTAACCCTGATGTAGCCCCACTGTTTTGAGAGAAGCCTCTTTTTTCAAAGTATCATTTTTTGGGGGGGGGATATATTTCTTAGCTGACTACTCAGGCTAATCTAGTAGATTTAATCTTAAGATTTCTATGATTACCCATTTAAAGATCTAAGTATTAAATAGTTGTACTTTTTAGCTGTGTTATGAAGGCAAAAATACTTTCTTCATTGGAGTAACTATTTTGCTGGGCACCCTCTTTCATCTCTCAAGGCAAGTATCTCTCTCTCTCTCCTAAGCTCCAAGGGCCCCAATTTTGCCTCTGAAACTTACTCACTGACCCCATTTCTTCTATGGTTCACTTCTACCTCTGTGACTTTCTAATAAACTTTCCCTTACAGTTTGAGTCTTGGGTCTGAATTCTTTCTTAACCAGCACTCAAATACCAATACTGCTAAACCCAGGTCTAACACCTGGTACCATTTTTCTGCTGCTAACAGAATGAGCTTTACTAGAGTAGCACTCCTACCCTCCCTTCCCTGATGATTGAGTTTGGAAGGAAGAACTGGGCTTGCATAGCTCTGCCCCTCCATCTCTTAGGACTGGGCTGTCCATAGCAAGCTTTTGTTCTGCTCTGCTACCTACCATGAGGGGTCTGACTCTGTAGGGAAGACCATAATGGCGTAATGCTGTCTCTGCCCAGGGCAAAATCTGGCCTAATCCTGAGGTCCTGAAAGAAGAAACACATTTCACCAAAGTATAAGCCACATTCTCCAATATCTGCTGTGTTGATAATAAAGGCAGATTGGCTCTCCATTTACTCATTCCTTTGTCTTTTTTAATTGGCTCAGACCTGGTCAGGGAAAAGAGGGTGTCATATATTGATCCCTTCAGATCTCAGGAGCTGTGTTTGCAGAAAGAGAATTTGCACTGTGTCTGGCTGGCATGGGAGTGGAGCAAAGGAGTCAAAGTCCCAGTGAAGTCTATTTCCTTAATGAACTGCAAAACCCTCTTTTTCCAAGGCTGGATCACGGAGGCCTGCCCAGAGGCAGGAGGATGGATGAGAAGGCCTCCTTGGGAGTGGGGGGGGGGGGG